AACCCGGATGCTGTTCAGTTGTTTCCTTGCCGTGTTTCCTGAACTGCCCGATGATTTTGTTGACTGTTGAAAGAGAGATTCCCAAATTCTGCGAAATTTGCCGCCGACTTATTCCACCATCTGCTTGACCAACTATTCTTCCTCTAACAAAATCTGACAATTCGAGAGAACCTTGAGTTCTAGGCATGTTGTAGCACAAGATTATTAGTGTGCGGACCATTTTCATTTATATAGTGTTCTGTGAACACAAATTAGTTAGCATAAATCAGTTCAATGACGAAAAATTAGGTGCCTATTTACTTGTGACCACTCAGTGTATACAGACGCACACACACAAGTACACAATAAATACTTAGAAAAGATCTATTTATTAAAACTTTTGTAAGCATCTTAAAAAGAGAAACCAGCAGTATAAATTGGCGTGATAGGTAGCGCAATAAGAAACAAAATCAGTATAGTAAAGAATGAAATAATTAATTTGTATTTCTACTCCATAATTTACTTTTAAATACTTTCAAACCTTGAAAGCAGCTCCGCCGTGAATAACAGACTTCACAAAGATCCCTAAGTCTACTGGCCCAGTGGGATTCACTGATGTGCGACCTTTGACACTAACTCCTAGTCCTGCCGATTCTGTGTCATTTACGGGAATATCAAAAGTCAACACTTCTTTGTGAAGCCAAGGGTATATTCCAACGCTATCACCCGATTTTTCTGGAGGCTACGAATTAAAACGAAAAGTTAGTTAGTTTCTCTCAGAATTACCTAAACTCTTAAAGTGGAGAAAAGTTAAAAGGTTTTATTCTCATTGTAAGTCAATTAAACAACCATTCTTAGAACAATAATAGGTTGGGAAATTATTTATAAGCACAAGTTTTATTGAAATCTGGTTAAGATATGTAGACGATATCTTCATACTATGGTGACACGGGAAAGATACGCTACTTCACGTCATTGAATTCTTAAACACATTATCAACCAATATCATAATTTTCACACATAAAATAGAATCTAAAAGTTGGCTCCCCTTTTTTAGATGTGAGTGTAAAAACAGGAAATAATAAAAATTACCACCAGTGTATATATAGAAAACCCAATTCCATCACCATGCCGCCACACAAGATCTAATCACCACCTATCAAAGAAAATATCCTCCTATTTCACCTACGTAAATCGTGCTATAAAACTTTACACCCACAAAGAAAGACTTACAAATTGAACCAAACTACTTAAAGGATATAGCACTGTCTAAAGGTTTCAATCCAAACAAAGATAGGGCTTGTATCAAACTTCAAAACAGTACAATATATTATGTTAACACTAGCCTTGCACCTATCAACAACATAAAACAGCATATTTGTTTCATTCCCTTTTGTGCCAGAAATTGCTAATAAAATTACTGGCCTATTTAATAATTTGAGCATTGCTGTAAAAACTGTAATCAAACTTTCAAGTGAAATAAACACCTTACCCACTTATCCAAAAATAATCCTTGCTAAAGGAACAGAAACAAGGTATATATAGTATCCCATGTGAATGTGGAAAGAAATACACAGGACAAATGTCACACTCCTTATATTGTTTGTTTGTTTGTTTTTGAATTTCACGCAAAGCTACACGAGGGTTATCTGTGCTAGCCGTCCCAAATTTAGCAGTGTAAGACTAGAGAGAAGGCAGCTAGTCATCACCACCCACCGCCAACTCTTGGGCTACTCTTTTACCAACGAATAGTGCGATTGACCGCCACATTATAACGCCTCCACGGCTGAAAGGGCAAGCATGTTTGGTGTGACGGGGATTCGAACCCGCGACCCTCAGATTGCGAGTCGAGCGCCTTATCCACCTGGCCATGCCGGGCCCACTCCTTAGAAATAAGATGCAAGAACACCAAGGTCACATGCATAGAGGTGAATCTAGATATCCACTTTAACGTATCATCAATATG